CTTAGTTGACAGTAAATCAAAGCTCTTTTAACTGGTTAATACTATTTAGATATTCAATATAATTTGTTTATTGTTGTGTTTTGGTTCAATGAAGTAAAAGAAAAAAAAATCTGATTATTATCAGTTTTTACCAACTTTCCCATGTTGAGTGTCAAGGGCAAATGATATTAACAAAATCAACAAAAAAAATGTGACACCGCCTTAGGTACAAGACAATATATCTTCTAATGAATATTCTAAAAGGAAAAGGGTCAAGACTAAATCAACATGCAACTAAGTAAACAATTGACAATGTACAGTGAAGGTGGTAATGGAACTTGATATTAATCTCAATGTGTGACTGCCTCCAAAGGAGCTGTTATTTTGAGGTACAAATTAAGAATAAAGGTAGACTTCAATCGTTCCACTAACTTTGCACAATGCATTAGCACTGACTGCATCAAAACAGACACAAATCATGACGTGATCACCACCATGCTTGACAGCTGGGAAAGCATTTTCCCAGCTGTCAAGCATCGTGTTTTGAATCTTGCTTTGAAGCCTCAGAATATTCTCCTGGCCATTGTAGCCACTGACTCCTGTTTTTACAGCCTGATTCTCATTTACAGAAAATGTATAACTGGGTCGTTGCATAGAGGTCGTGGCATGTTGTTTTCCCACAGCTACTACTGTGACAGCTGCAACTTAAGCATCTGACCTTTTATTAAAACATGACCTCATACTGAGTAAGTGGCCGAATTAATACTTTTTACTGGTTTCTAATCTGTAACATTTTTTTAACATGACCAAATCGGTAACACTTTATTTGAAGGGGGGTGAATAAGACTGACATGACACTTTCATTAACATGACATAACACATGTCATGAACATGAATAAGCCTTCATGAATTTTTATGACTGTTGTCATAAAGCATAATTCAGTAAATTATGACACTTTTAATACAAAGTTAACATTCAAAATGTCTTTGTTATGACAACTTGACATTAACCAAGAAATCATTATTGTTTAAACTTTACCTTTAATAACATAAAGTTACCTAATTTTTAAAGTGCAATCAGTAATACTTTTATAACAAATTTATATCAGTAATGATTTCTTGGTTAATGTCAAGTTGTCATAACAAAGACATTTTGAATAATGTCAACTTTGTATTAAAAGTCATAATTTACCGAATGACGCTTTATGACAACAGTCATAAATATTCATGAAGGATTATTCATGTTCATGACAGGTGTTATGTCATGTTAGTGAAAGTGTCATGACTGTCTTATTCACCCCCCTTCAAATAAAGTGTTACCACAAAATCACACAGAAATTGTTCCACAAACCTAAGATTGTAGTATTTTAAAATGGTCACAAAATGGCTAATTTTAAAAAGTTAGCTCTTGTTTGCCTGGATGATTCATTTTAAATCACTTATCAAGGATTGATTTATGACTTCCACTGTGGGACCCTATTCCTTTACTTCTGTGGTATTTTCTTAGTCTTTGACTGTGGGCTTCCCCCTCCCAGTTCCACTGACTGACAGCAGCAGGCCTCCTGGACCCTCATTTAACCTCTTCGAAACTCTAGCAGACACTAATCCACTATTGCTGCTGGTCTCTGCCTCATCCTGTTCTGTCCACTGTCTTTGGTTTCCATACCGCAGAAAGAACCTAGAGGAGCTGCCAGATCTGATCAATGACTCTATAGCTGTTGAAAGCTTTTAGGTTATTCACGTGTCGTCATGTAGAGGTGTAAAATAGACAATGATTTATGAGAACTTGAGTTATCCTATCCTAAATTTGTGACAAGTTTTTTTTTAATCCAAAAATTCCAGTAGGCTGTGATGATATATGGTATATTTTCAGAGCCATTGGTAGATGTTTAAAGCTTACTGTTCAACACACCAGGGAAAGAAACTGCCACACAGTGCCTATTTTTGCATTAAAGCATTTCTGTCTGATGAGAGGAGGAGCAAAAATTAGATGCAATGTATGCCTTACAGTGTGAACTGCATGGACCTTTTTCCGACCTCCCAGTCATTCGAAAGACAAAGGTCATGGATGTATCGTGTTCACAGACCCAAACATTCATGTTACCACCAAAACATTTGCCTGCAAGGTGAAAGTTGAGGCAAATGTTATTGTCAGAACAGCAGATGGCGCACCTGTCCTCCAGAAGTAAAAGGTGTTGGAGGAAAAAGCAGCTGGCTGTTTATTCATGCATATTTACAATGCAGACATGTATCAAGGGAGAAATGCATCAAGATAGCTGCAAAACAATTTATTTAAAACATCCTGCAATAAAATCTTCACAAAATTCTGAAGATCAGCAGAACTGAGCTACAAATAACTGGATTTATGTGAAAATGTCAAAAACCTTTTATGAAAAGCCTGAAACGTGTGCAAATAAGTTTTAGTTTCTTTTTAATTAATGGAGACGTCAAAGACTGAGGCCAAGTTTATAAAGAGAATGTCAGTTTTGACATTGTACTCAGGATATAGTGCACAGAAAGTAAAGTGGGAATTTATAGACCTGCAAGGCCTATGCGGTTTCTCCAAGGTACTTCTTGCATAATCTTTTGCTGCACTGCATTAATATTTATCATATACCCCCCAGAAACAGATGCAGAGAAAGTTGTGGGCACCCTTGGAAAAGACATGCAAAAAGTAATTGTAGTTGCATAATCTGACTCTGAATTTTTTGAGAAAAACTCACCTTTAATTTGAGTACTTCAATCTGTTCAGTGTGAGAAAACATCCTATGTCAGAAAGCAACTGTTTTTATAAGTACAATTATAGGTATGCCCAACAATACCTCATAAACAAATATCAAAATATATTTTTAGAAACAATACTTTACTTATTTATGCTAGGAAGCAGAGTTTATAAAGACTTTCTGTTTATGTGGAGGAAGAATGTGACAGGACAAAGTATTCTCTTTCTTTCACTGAGATGAAAAAAAAAACAGTACTGTAATTATCTAGCCATCGCACAAAAAAAAAAACCTCTTCTGTCTTTCACAAATGTACTGTAAACTTATAGAGATTGCAAAACACTGTCTGTAACTGTTGCCAGGTTAGTAGAGACTAAACCTGAGCATTTTAGGTAGTTTTAGTGTGAAACAAATGAGTGGAAAGGCAGTTTATGTTCAATGTTAAGCAGGGTGGAGGATATATGAGGCTGTGAACATGTATCCCTTTCAAAGGGATTCGGAGGACATTTGTATTGTTTTCATGCAAATCTGGCCATCTCTGCCAGCAGATTAAAAGTAGTTTGTCATTGGATACTTCAGCAGAAAACTGACCCAAAATATAAGGCCAAATCAACAGAGCAGTGGTTCATCAGATACAAAATGAACCTTCTTCTGTGACCACTGAATCCTACAGAAATACTAAGGAGCCAGATAAAAAAAGACAGCATGAGAGACGACTGAGGACTTAAAGATCTGGAGACACTGGAAAAAAAAAAAGATTCTTCTCTCTGTAAGCTCCAACAATGTCAATGGTAAAACTTTACTGCTATCTATTGGGTAAAAACTACCAAACAGATAGCACTATCTGGCTGTGACTTCATTTAAAAAGTTAACTATGTTTGTTTTCTCTCCCAAAAAAAAAAAAAAAAAGATCCATTTATTGTGAGTCTTTTTATAGATTTTTTACCAGGGTGCCTACCAATTTCTTCTGATATGTACTGTATATAGTATTTATAGAAATCTATATTTATCATATATGCTTTCTGAGATTTGCTTTACTATAGGCAGATAAAAGAAATCTGTCATAAACAGCTACATTTACTCTTTAAAGAAACTTGAATAATGATACATTTCATATCCGTTTGGAGTTAAGAAAGCCCCCCACCACCCCCCTGCCAAGTGAATTAAACTAAAAATATTTTATGAAAAGCTTCATTGACACCCTCAGACAAAAGTAAGACCAGGACATGTCTAATTTTAACCAAGAACATTTTTTAGGCTCAATTTAGTAACCACGAATGAACAAAAATCTCAACAGAGAAAACTGAGAGCTTTTGTTTATTTCAAGAACACATTTCAACACACATCACACACACATCAAATGATTAAATACACTCAAAGTAGGATTTATCAGTCTCTACTCACAAACAGGGAACATGTATAGTAAAGCTGTGCAGAAAACAGGTTATTTTGGCATGTTTCCTTTGTCAGATAACGCCTAATTTACAGAACAAAACCAAACGTAAGAAACAAACAAACAAAAAACTATTTGCAAGCATAATGTTCATCATCTCTGAATAGCACCTTGTTCCAGTCTCTGCAATATTTCGACTGGTGAGTAGTTGATAAGAAAGGATGGTGTGGGGTTTGTCCATTAGGTCAAACAAAAGACAAAGTCCTGCCTCTGTAGGTTATATGAACCCAAACACCATGACAGGAAGCAGCGTCCTGGAGATAGAAAAGACTGACTGACACGAGGGCTAATCGTACGAGCAACACCCACAACTTACTTGATGCTATATCCACATATGAGCTGCTCATCAGAAAATACTGTACATTATGTGTGCTGCTAGGTCTATAAAAGTAGATTTGATGGTTTAGACGGCGTGGCTTTCTAAAAGAGCAAATGCTAATCTGTTAACACTAAGGCACTATTTATGATATAAATGGCTAACAATAAACGGAGATGGTATGAACTCTGTGCACACAACTCAGCTCCAGAGTGTCTTCTACACAAAGGTTACGACATGTGAAAATTACAACTCAAAATTCACTTTCAATGCAAAACACAAGCAGGTAGGTGCATATTTAGAGTGACCTAATTTGGTTGGAGAACGGCATTTTCCTTCTTGTCGGGAAATTACAATACATCTCATGCTGAGGCTTCATGCAAGAACCACCGTTGCTTTAACATCATGCAGGTGGCCGTGTTGTTTTATGATACTAATAAAATCTGAATGAATGATGGGAATTTCTTTTTTACTGTTAAATTATTGGTCTAAAAACACATCTTGTTTTTTTCTATATACGTAACATGTATGCTTTTTTTTTTTTTCTTTTAAATAGCCAATACCTGGGGTTGCCAGTTTTTTTTTTTTGAGACTGTACTTTGAAACAGCAATATTGGAGAGCATCTGTAAACAACACAATAAAAGATTAAAAACCAGCCCCTTTGATGACATTCCATATTTATGCAACAACTCCGGGAAGACCAAACATTAATAAAAAATTTACCTAACACAGATTTGCAAAAAGCAAAATGCCCCAATTATTTAAAAAAATATTAAAGCTCATCTTATCTGCTTGGTAAATATAGAAAGAAAATCTAATTATTACAATTTATATATGCAATTAAATTCTGAATGCAGTTGATGCATTTGTGCAGAGATATTGACTGTAGCCTAAATTCATCACTGCCACTGAGGTAATACAGAAAACTGTTTTTTAGATACTTGTTTTAGCATATAAATAAGCAATAAGCTGACCTAACAGGCATCACCTGTCTGCCATGGGATTTTAATTGCAGGAATACTTAATGCTCATTTCATAAGAAAAAACAAAAGTCTTAAAACACCTGAACTAGTAATACTAAGCAAAATGTGGATTTAGGCCCATTAACCATGGAAAACAGCATGAAATTATATGTCGATGAAGTCTGTAGATGTTTTGTATTCAGATATTAAAGGTATTGTAGTCAGCTTTTCAATAAATAAATACTTGGCAGCTCTTTAGTAAATTGATCTGGTATTTGTTGGAAAAAAAAAAGAAAAAAGAAATGACCTATTAAAGGATGAGTAATACACAGTCTATTTACATGTCACAAGGGTAAAAAAAACAAAAAAAAAACATATTGAAATGTTTTACTTTTCAGATGGTCAAGTTGTAGCATAGATGTTCACGCCATTCTGAAAACCCTTGTGATGCACAAGTATTTGGAGAATGTGTGCAGACACAAGAACAGCCAAAGTTATGAGCTTTTTTTTTAACGTCACCATAAAATTGCTTACATCCAATATCACGCAGACTCTACACGTCCAAATGAACTTTGTACAAGTTAATGACAAAACCATGATAAAAAGGATGGAAGACATATGGAATCCCTGATGCCATAGACTCCCTGATATGACACGATGAGGTGTAGAGGTGCGAAAACAGTGGTTATTCATCGGCAGACCCCTCCCACTACATGATGTTTTAAAGGTCTGCGCTAAACTCTCCATGAAGGTCATTTAAGGCCACAATGTTTAGCGAAGAAAGAAAAATGTAAACACTATAAAAAAAAAAAAGAGAAATCATTAGAGAAATATAGTCTTTCGGGTTACAGCTCCACAGATCATATTATAGGGCTGAAATTGGATCATGTACCTTATGACAAAGGCACCCTATGAACTGCGTGGTGTGGCCTTTTTTGGAGAAGATCCACTGTTAATCTCCTGATCGTCTTCATCCTCTTCTTCCTCTTTCCAGCCACCAAGTTGAGCAGGGGCTGGCATGGAAATGTTGGAACTATGAGAGCCATGACCATGAAAACCTGAAAAAAAAAAAAGAACATTAGACGATTAGAGCAGAATTTATATGTATATAAAGTGGGGGGAAGTTTGTTTTCTCGTTTTGTTTTTCAACTGAAATTTATGATTTAATAACTTGGATGAGTTTTACAAAAGATGATCAGAACAAAACCAAATTTAAAATTAGAGGAATTATTTAAGAAAACCACAACAAACTTATTCTTTATACTTTTTAAATGGAAAAAGTAACCTGGAAATTTAATTTTACTGACACCAAGAGTCAGAACACTAAAACAGGAAGGTGTTTAAATAGCATTGTGACAATTTTTTGATTCTAGTCTGTCCTTTGTCAATAATAATAATAATAATAATAATAATAAAAACACTGGCTATTGTTTGCAAATGACATTAAAGCAATAATGTCTCTCTTCAAAGAGCTCCACTGAATTTAAATAACTATCTGTGATAATTACAGTAGCTCTGGATAATTAGCTTAAATCCCTGTTGGGCTGTCTACTTGTGAAGTTGTGGGTTTGATTCCATCTTCCTATAGCTCCATGTTGATTTGTCCCTAGACAAGATATTTAACTACAAGTGACCTACTGATCTGAGAGTCTGTGCATGTTTGTGAGCTTGAGTTTAAAAATGGAGTATATTCTAAACCCAGGGAAACAAACCAGGGAGATATACTTTGAGAAATGTAGTTTCTGTATATAGTGTGCCTGCTATACCTCTAAGCCATGTGATGCCCCCCCCCCCCCCCCCCCCCTTTTCAAAACACACTCAAAGTTTTCCCCCCTCTTCCCCGGTCTCCACNGTTGTTTTATTTTTTTTTTTATTTGTGAACTATTCATCAGAAAGTGTGGCCGTGTCCTCCGTGGTGTTGGGTGAAAGTCAACGGGTTGTGGTTAGTTGCACTCTGCCCGCAGCGTCTGATGGAGCGGTTTTAGTTTGAACCACTTCTTGGACTACGGGCTAATATCTATTACTGGCACAGTTTCAGGAGTGAGTGTCCTCTTTTAATGTTCCGCTTTTCTTTTTTTTTTTTTTTTTGGTTTGTGGAAGAGGCCAAACAGAAACCGCAACAAGTCTCAGCCGTGGCAGCCGTGGGCGTGCGTCTACGCCGACACCTTTTTAGTGCAGCGCAGACGCGCAACGAGGAAGAAGTCACAGTCCTCAAATCTATTCTGCAAATGTGAAAACTTTTTTATAACTTTTCTGTTTCTTGTCTGCCTGTGCATAAAATGTCTCCCCCGTAATTTTTGGCGCGAGAAAGAATAACGACCTCCTAAGGGGCGAAGACAACGTGTCTGTGGACGGACGTCAGACACATCACATCGCCATCCTGTCTAAAAATGTTCGGCGTCTTCCACAGGAAGGAAGTCATTTCTGTAAGCACTGGCAACAGGGGAGCAAGCCAACGTGATACAAAAGAAACAAGAAGTTTTGTCTCGCCATAAATAAAATAAAAAATACAGAGCTTGTTTTAGACTTTTAAGGCCATGACCAGCGTTTGTTCCAACTGATTCATGTCTTTGGTGCTTATAAAAAAGGAAAAGATGAGTATGTGAATGAGAGGGGAAGTATTTGAACAAACCGGTGAGTGTAACAGACTGTGGGGGAGTTTCAGCTAACTGGGGTTTTCTGTTGGCCCAGATATTGCAGGTCTTTGGCTATTATGTTTAAGCAACATGTCAAACTTCAGTGACAAACTCCATAAGAAAGGAAATAAAAACACCCTAAAACCCATTTCTTCCCACATCAACCAAATTTTCTTTGGCGTCCTTGTAGCTCTTAGTCAGAGAGTCATCGACAAACAACCCCAGCAAGTGCTAAATGTTTAAAGGAGCTGAATAATAGATGAAATAATCAGCTGTTTTAACAGTGCGACTTACTTTTCGGCTTTTTCCCTGTCGTCCAGGAAATACAGCGCCGTGGCCAGGAAAAACATGCCCCCCACGACAATGATGAAGGGACACAGCATGAGGGCATAGCCCAGACTGAGGAACTTCCATAGTTCAGATGAAGCAAATTTCTCCTGTAGTGCATCAGAGATCTGCAGCCAGACACAAAGAAAAAAGATAAACATTTTAAAAAATAAAAATAAAAGCTAGTCACCAAGTAGGGACTTAAGCAAGTGATTAATGAGTCAACCTAAAGTTGATCCATCTTATCAATCATTTAATGATTAATTAATAACCATTTCCCTAAAACTGATTATCTTGTTTCAATTGGGTCGACCGTCTTTCTATAAGACGAAGGGCTGCGACTTAAATAAGTACATCATTATATTTTAACAATTTTGTATCAACTGTGGTTTTCTTAAATTATTAAACTTGGACATATTTATGAAATATAGCAAAACAGCCTGAACATCTTATGTCGCTGAATCCAAAAAAAGATATTTTGCAACACTTAATCCCAGACTTTTCTGTCATCATCGTAGCACACATGAGTAATTTTTGGTTGAGAAGTTGACACTGCTCCGCCGTGCAGCACGGCTGAATAAGCGATATTAAGGTAAAAGGTAAGGAACTTGTCAAGTGTTTATATTTCAAAGCAGAAGCTCCCACAGACGTTCATTTCACATCCCACAACGGACACGGTCTGAACCGTTTCTCCTTCTCGTTCTGGTCAGGCTCTGCCATTTTTATTCCTGTATATCTAGCCTTTAAGGATGACCAGCAGTGCCCTCTTCTGTTTGGAGGCCACACTACAACAATAAAAGAAGGTCTAAACGTCTAACAAACCATTAATCGGCATCTAATCGTAAGGCAAATATTCAAACCTTCTACGATACACTGTGCAGTGTTGGTTTTCACATGTTTGCATGCACGTTTCCACCAATTCAAGGTTTGACAGCTAGCAGCTCATCATTCAGTGTGTCATGTGTTATGCTGAGGGAAACAACAGCTGAAGAAAAGTGGGTGTTAAGTGACCTGTTATGTCTCCCTGCATCACCCATAAGGCGGTCCCACTGACAATCACAGGGCGACAGAGGCTACTAATGGCAACGCTGAGCTAGCTCAGAGGGGTCGGTGGGAGGCGAACAGCAGGACTAGTGAGTGAGTCAAAGTGTCGCAGTGGCTCTGCCACACTGATTTCATGTTAGCTTCTGCAGACATTCAGTGCAGGAAAAAGCTGGAGGAGGAAACTGAAGGAGGTGAACCTGTGCGAGGGGAGTTTGTGCATTGGGAAAGAACCATTAAAAACTCAGGTGGCAGCAGTGTGTGTGTGTGTGTGTGTGTGGCCAGTGCAGGGCCCATTTCATCAAGAACATTAAATTCTCGGCAACTTGCACAGCGCAGCAAAGCTAAAAATAAGCAGAGAACTGCTGCCGGTCTAATTACCCTGCCAGAAGGCATTTCTTGGATGATTATGGAGAGATTGTTTCTGGCATTCCTTTGCTACCAACTACGTGGTACGGTCCTTCTCTGCTGGTAGAGGAGGAGTCTGGGTTCTGTTTATCGGGAGGATTCTTGAGTGACATCAGTCTGACACGCTCTGATGAAAATGAGTCTTGGCTCAAATTTCTGGGAATTTCAAATATTCTAAAGCAGCTTTTTTAAAAAAGGTGGTAATTTTGCTGAGGCGTGACCGGTGACCGCTAAAAAGCAGCTCTGTCGCACCGGATCTGGTTTGCTGACCTCGATGCTTCGTCTTCAGGTCTGCTTGGTGCTCAGGCCCGAAACCTCAGCGTGAACCAAAATAACCGAGTCATTCCCTATCTTTCTCCTGTGGTTGCTTGGCGATAACCACTTGCTTTTTCCTGCTATTCCATCTCTTTTTGCCAATTCACATTCGCCCCAGCCAATATGCATGGGCGACTGCATATCTGCCCCCACTTGGTGTGCGTCACGACCGGTCCATCACGCTCGTGTGCTAAACCTCAGCTCAGGACGCTGACGCACTCCGAGCGTTCAGAGCGTCGTCAGTCGGGCTTCTGCGTAGGAAGCGGGAAACCTCCGGGCGTTCAGAATGTCACTCATCAGGAGAGAACTGTGGAGTGGAGTGGAGTGGAGTGGATCCGGGGGGACTGAAGAACCGTGGGGCAATGTGGGAGAAATCCAGGGTGGCATTAATCTGACTCATGGAAAAAGTGGATGTCAGTAATAAGAGTGCTATTAAATTGTGCTTTGCCTAAGTCCTCATTTTGTTCAAACTTTTCTACGTGTTGGCCAACGTAGAGAAGTTAATGTGGCCATGGAGGAGGGAATTTCTACCAAAACAAGTCAGAGAAGTTCAATTAATTTTACGTATTTGAGTGTAAGAACATACATATTCTCTGATCTTTAAAATGTCAGATTTTTTTCTACAAATGTCTGACTTTTCAATGTCAGAGAATATCCTAGTTTTGATATTATAAATGTCTGCCTTTAATCATGGAAATGATTGTTTTTCTTAAAAACCTTTTGACATCAGAGAATATCCATATTTTGTTCTTACAAATACGTGAAAATGATGTTGAAATTTCCTCGTCTGTAGCCACATTCTTTATATACAGTGGTCGCTCAGTTTGAAACACGGCAGACAGAGGAAGTTAAGATCAGACCAAAGTAAACTCGTCTGTGTGAGCAGTAAGTGCAGAAACAATACGGTTACGCTGCATCTGATCCCTCTTTTGAGCAGCGCTTCTTGCTCTCGCTCCTTTCACCTGCCTCCGACGCTAGTTTCAGATTTTCACTCGGGCGAGAAGGAACAGGAACAGCTGCGCCTGTCGCCTGCCTGTCAGGCCCTGACAGAGGATCCTGAATCAGTCTGATTCTCCTAATCAAAGACATCCGCCGCTTTTGTTGCTGCAGCTCAGACTGCGAGCCAGCCTCCGAGTGATAAAACACAGAACCACAAAGCGCTCTATTCTCCTGATACCATTTACGGCCCCACACACATAAAAAAAAAAATAAAATGCCGATTTAAAACGTCAAATGCGTGGATAAGGTGTGACATGTGATGCGGCGTGCAGAAGAATGCGCTTCTTCCTGCCTTTATTGGCGTTCCAGCACCGCATACAGAAAGCAGAGGAAGAGGGGCTCAGTGGAGTTGCTATTTAACTTTAGAAATGTTCATTCTCACTTTAAAATAAGACAAACCTGTTTTGACAGTCTGATGCGAATCCCGTTTCACACTCCATTGAACGCCGGGCGGCACTTTCACTCCGGCTTCCTGAATGCTATTCTTTTGGGGCGGAGAGGGGGGCGTGCGCCCTCGGTCTGAAAGGTGGGGAGCGTTAGGCTGGGATCGGGGAAACGGGCTGACGGTGACCTTGAGAGGCCCGGCAAGAACTACTCTCTCATCTGGCGACCAATCAAAATGCGGCAACTCCGGCGTCTCCGGGGAGCCGTGAGGCTTGCTAGAGAATACCACTGATTTGAGAGCAGCGGCAAAAATCACAGTCCTGTTCGCCGGTTCTCCTGGGACCTGCGCTAAAAGCCCCTCCTGTGGAACACTTTGCGCTGGCCTAGTTAAAGCCAGAGCTGAGCCGGTGTCTAAATGTGCTTGTCACCCAGTGTGCGTTTCAAACGCTCAGCCGGAGTTTGGGGGCCGAAGGAGGAATGGGCGAGGGTCTTACCGTGCCTATCAGGTATGGACTTCCTGCGTCACCCAGGAGATGAGAGGTGAAGCTCTGAAAGGCGACTGCTGTGGCTCTCCGTGTGGGAATAACAACAAACTGCAGAGAGACGGGAAGGGAAATAAGGTCAAGGTGAAGAAGGAGGTCAAACCACCTGGTAGGTTCAGGTAACGGCGTCAAAAACGGCCTGTTCGCCTGAATACACAATGCAGACGGCGAACTAATTAAAAATAAAGAATTCATCTGGCTTACTGAAACTCTTTTTATTATTTTTTTAAATTTTACAAACCCAAACACGTACAACTGTCGTTAAATAATTCACACCAAATGATTTTCCTGAATTTTTTTTCCGCCACCGGAATGAAACTTTAATGAATTTAATCGGGTTTTTAGGACAATGACAAATGAAAAACACTACGTGACTAAAACGATAAAAGAATAATGATAACAGTTTTCAAACTTTGTCACTTCATAGTGAATACTTCCAGCAACGTGCCGTATTCACTATGACGACGGAGTGTTAGGTGAAAGCTAAATTTGGTCAAATTAAGCCAAAAAGTTAAATCAAACGCATCCATTCACATGTTTTTTTTTTCCTTTCACGTTAAAGTTAAGACCGACTTCTTGTTGGCCGAATAAAACAGAATACGTTTAATTTGTGGCTCAGTGGGACTGAATGTAAAATAAAACATCAAGGGGTATGAATACTTTTGTATCTCACCCTATTAAGGTCAGAGTTCAGCCTTTATGGCTCAGTTATCAATTTCTCCACTCAATCGTTCCACTTACCATTAAAATGTCTGCCGTCAAAGCCCAGTTCACGAACAGCAGCGTCTCTCCGATGAAGATGCAAACCTAAACGAAGACAAAGAGATTTCACTCCGAGAGCCGCCACTTTCCGCTGACATGACATGTAAACCAGGGAAGAGCTGGAGGATATTTCTATCGCTGCTTTGAGAACTGCTCTGGTTAAAAGCGATTCGAAAACATGTTATTATAGCGCAGGCCAGTAGATTATGTTGACATGCGGGCTTTCACCGAGCTGCGCCCCACAGACTGAAAACCAGCTCGGGATGACAACAATTGTTTATTTTCGTCTCAAGATGTCCAATGCGGGAAACGCTCTGGCGCTGCGATTTCAAATTACGTCCCTTCGGAATAGACAGAGCGAGTGACCTCGGACTGCAACACTGTACGTGCGGCTAGTTTCGTTCCTGGCCGCTTGAATCATAAACACACCTAGAGAGGTTCGGTTGCGGTGGAATCTCATGTATCTGCACCGCCTGGTTTCATCTGAACCGCTTTAACACGGCCGACTGATGTGTGTTTCCTGCCGGGGGATAACCCCCTCTCTCTCCTTTGCTCCCTCTCCCTCCTGCCCGTCAGAGCGCCAGATCTGCAGTACAGCGCAGAGAGAGAGAGAGAGAGAGAGAGAGAGAGAGCGCGATCCGGCAGGGTTCCGACAGCCGAGACGTCAGACGGGTCCGCCCTGAGGCCGACGCGCGTTGAGAGGAGCCGAGTCTCGCCTTGACAACAGCTGCGAGGGGTCGGCGGGCCTCGGCGGCCCAGCGCCGTTGGTTCCACGCCGTGTCACGCCTTATAACGCGACACATCTGTCAGCTCCTCGCAGTGAAACCCGAATCGCTCGCTTACAACCGCTGCAGCGTGCGGCAATTTCCTACGGTTCAGCAGAGCATCGACGCCAGAGGTGAAGTCGCACGTTGCGAGCTGTTCGTCCTAATCGAGGCGCAGCGTTATTTCTGAGCCAAACGATCTGGGCGCGATTAGCCGAATATTGCCCCTTTGTTGCACCTGACTTCTTATTCCTGTCCGTCGGGATGAGCTGGGGCCTATTTCTGCTACGCAGCGAGTGTATGAAATTGAGTCGGACAGACGTGCGGCCGTGAAATGAGTGTGGATACGTCTGTAGCTGGAGTCTAATTGGCTGAGTCATGCTGCTGTCAAACACCTGATGAATGTGCACCTTTGACCCAATGGGAGTTCATAAAAATCTTACTTCGTTAAATCCAAATTATTATTCATTTCAGCCGTTATTTAATATTTGGGAACTAAATTGGAAGTTGCGAGACGGCTGCCGTATCTTTTCCGAAGCCGCTGAATGCATGCAGGCAAGCAGCATAACACTGCAGTGCTGCTGAAAAGGTTTTAAATTATGCATTTCAACTTTCCTTTTATCATTTCAACCGTCGCATACAGTGGCTCCAATAGCTGCAGTTGTCAGAATGGCTTTAAAGTTTATGTGAGTTGCTTGGATTCAGAATATAGATTTGGTTTTGGAGCGTAGGATTGAGGTCGGAGGTGTTTCCAAAGCTTCATGTCGGCTTTCTTCATTCATTCCAAAGACGGTTTGTATGTGTTTGGGCTCAGTGTCCTGTTGGAACACACTGCTGCATGCAATAGACCCACAGCATGACGGTGCCACCATCGTACTGGACAGCTGCAACAGCGTTCTTAGGTAGTCTGCCGTTGACTTCTCTGAACATATTCTTGTTCGTGTGGAGTGTCTCAAACTTCAATACTATAAAGAAAATAATGGAGTACGCTCTAAAGCAAGGTCTATGTTACAAAAAACACATTTAAATAAACGCTGCCAACTCAAATATAAAAAACTGGAAACATATGGGGACGTTTTTCCAAACAGTTGTCAGGGTATATGCAGAGTATTGGGGCAGTAGATCAAATTTCAAAAAGCCACAATAAATTTAAGCCACAGGGCTAAGTTTTGATTTGAAATCCTTAAAGTTGTTTGTTACATCATAACTTGTTCCTAGAAAATGAGATGTTCTACCTTTAAAATCCCCAAATTAATATAATATTCATTCTCACGAGCACCTAGAAAAAAAAAAAAAGCTGGGGAACAATGAGCGACTCGACTTTCTAAGGTCGGCCACGGCCTGTCATTTAGGAAGTCTGTTTCTCTGACAGGCATGGGAAAATATTTCCCAGACATGCAGCTATAATACCGACCAACACCTTGAGGGTCATTTCCTACTCCTTTGTAAGTGATAAGAACAAAATATTGTGTGCTTGCTAAGGCCAGACTGGATTGTTCCGAAGCCGTGATCGAGAAGTGGCACCCTTTCCTGCTCCACAAGGCTGTCGCACCGAGAATGTCGTGCTGATGTGTTCAATAGATTAGCCACAGCTAACTGCAGCAGCTAGCCGAGGTCACGCTGCAGCTAACCTGCGACTGACACCAGTCATTACGCGGAGCAGCTCTCTGCCCCGGGGGCCTGAGAAGAACTGGTGTCACTCTCGGTGTCCTCTTACAACTTTATTCAAACCTCAGTAGGCTTTTACACCTGCTAGGCTGCTCTCAGGACTGTCACTTTCAGCGTTCTGGCCCTGAGGTGAAACACCGTGACTCACGTTTCACTCTGTGGGAGGAGGGGACGCCGTTTCTGTCAGAGTAAACGAGAGAGATAAACTTACATAAGCTCCATGGATGCTGTTCTTGGCCACGACGAAGACGAGGCAGATGAAGATGGCAGAGCCCATCATGCTGATGGCGCACACCAGGGGGTCAGCCCGCGCCGTCCTACGGCGAAAGAAGCGCGTGGCGCCGGCCCCGATGACCACGCCCAGCAGCCCCGTCACGCAGGTGATGGCCCCGAAGATGAGGCTGCAGGAAACAACCATGAGTAAGGTTAGGTGAGGGTGCAATGCAAGCGTTGATGCGTTTAAGCTGCCTAGACAAAAGAAACCAAGAGCTACGGTAGAGAGGGCTGCAGCTAAAGGTTGTTTCAGTAAATCGACTGTCCTCTGTGCTAATCGCTCAAATAAAACTCCACACATTCTGCAGATTTTTAACTTAAGCATTTAAAAGGTGCAAATAAACAGGTAATTCAATTCCTGTTGTAAGTAAGAAAATGAACATCGTATTGTCTAAAATGCAACAACTCAGCATTCCTTAAGCAATCTCTTGATTATTTGTGGCAACAGATGCATCTGCAGCTCAAAACTACTTCTAGCATCAACATGTGCAGAGCTCGGCCCGTTCTGCTCGACGTTTTATCACTACAGTGTAGGGCTGATCTGATGATTAGTTTTTGATTAACCAACTAACAACTGGACAGCAAAGATGAAGCTAAAACTTTGCCGTTCGAGAAATTCTGAGCAGAACATATTTACAGAAAAAGATTTCTTTTTTATGTCAAATGCAAAATGTATATATTTTTGTACAGTTTTTGCTTAGTTAGTACTTCGATTATGTTTTATTTTCTTTTTGTGAGTCTCCAGTTAACAATTAATCATTTCACTAAACTAGTTGACGTTTATCTCAATAATCTTCATCAGGAATAATCCCACTAATCATTAGGATAGGTAGATCCTACAGTAGCGCCTGTAGGTATTTTACTCGTAGCGGGAGTCGAACAGAAGCCTCTCCACTGACGTCTCACCTGTCTCGGCTGCTGCAAACTTTTTTGGTGCAGGCTTCGACTTCCTTCTGCACCACCTGCGCTCGGAACAGGTAGATGGGAATCAGCATTCCAAACGCGCCCGTGGCAAAGGACACGGCTGCTGCCGCCAAGGACGAGAACACGTAGCTCCGGCTGGCGGGGAGGAAAACACAAAAATCACACGGGTCAGAGGAAGACAAAATAAACTAAGCTCCTGTTACACTTTATACAGCACCAGGCTTCCTTATCGCTCCAATAATATTTGGCCAACATCCTTATGATGCAGCTCCAGGGAAATATCTGCATCTACAAGTAGATTGTTACCCTGAGACGAGCTTTAATCTCAATTGGACCTCAAAATAATATGTTTAATTTTCTAGTAGAGATTAATGTGTGCACATGTGATGTTCCAACACGTCACCATGGTTACACTGATCCAGACAGTCACATATTAAAGCAAATATGAATTATATGCATCAAGCCACTGCTTCGTGGCAGTTCTTCATGTTATGCAGACATTTTGATATTTCTGGAAAGCTGCTTTATAAAAAAAAACAAAAAACGACACACTTATTGTTTTGTTCTGGACTCTCATTAAAAATAGATATGATGATAAAAGACTGGTAATAAGTTTTATATTTGAACTGCCCCGTTGGGAGGTTGGCAACAGAAACATTTTATTTCGTTTTCGATCGGTGAATGCACCATAAATAAGCTCCACCGGATTATGCTAACTACAACACTCTTTGGTGTAGAAGTTGTTACAAAGAAAAGAAGACTGTTTTCAGCATCAGAAAGAAGAAGTACAACAAGGATGCTGTTCAGCGAGGATTTTTGCTCATGCTTTTTTTTTTTTTACTTCTGGACAGTTGTGATGATACGTAACTGTGGCAACAAGGTATTATTTATTATAAGATGCATGTATGATAGTCACAAAATGCAAATTCCCTTCTTTGATTGAATTAAATTTTAATTAATCACAACTGAATTGACTGGTATTGAATTGAAATTAAGTGCAGGAATGCAAGAGGAAATGTTGGCAATTGTTTCGAAGTCTCACAATTCAGGTAACGGTCAGCTTAGAAAACAGAGATTCAGTGATTTTTATTAGTAATCAAAAAAAAACAAAAAAAAAACACAAATTCTGCTAATTATACGAATCGTTGAGATACTAAATACAGCTTTAAATGTAAACTGTGTAATAACTTCATCTTATTTTAAAATAAATTGAAATCCCTGTTAATTTTGGAATGAGAAATCGGTCACAAAAATCTCTAATCGGTGCTCATCTGCTGTCACGACAGTCGCCGATTAACCAGCTCCTCCATCCAAAACATCCAACCAAAACCAACGCAAGCAATCGAAACCCCCCCAGTGCACGACGGTGCAAAGCCTTACTTCTTGGTGAGGGCCTTCATGTCGCTGAGCCACGAATGGGAGTGGGAGATGCGTCCTTCCATCTGATCCGCGCTGCCTCTCTTCGGGTCAGGCACAAAGAGCAGGATCAGAGCGCCCACGGTGACGCCCAGGAACGGGGACACCTGACGAGACGAGAAATCAATCGGTCAGTGCGGTTCACAGAGAGACCCTGTGTGGGCTGTGATCATGCTAACACACGGCACCCGGAGCCGTTTCGTGGGGAGGGGGTGGAGGGGGGACAAAGAAGTGTGTGTGTGTGTGTGTCTGCACTGCTGTTTGCCGATACGCCTCACATCTTATACAAGCCCTATGAAACTAAGAGCATTCCCTTCGCTCACTCTACTGGCACTCAGTGTGTGTGTGTGTGTGTGTGTGTTCCTGCATAGGCGTGGGTTGTGTACAGGAGACTAAACGAGCTTTCTGGCTTTGAAAGCTGCTTTGTAAGCAGGAGAGACTCTCGCAGGTGCCCATCTGCTGCGATCTTTACTGCCGTGCTTTCTGGCTCGTGTGATTGCAGGTTTGTACCCGAGCCGGTCTGTGTCTGGGAGACACAAAGACGAGAAGCCGGGATGGGATGTGTGAGACGGGATTTGTTTGAGTAATCCCAGCTACCAATAAGAGCGAAGGCAATACGTGTCGTGGGAAATTGATCTCAAGCGTTCGGCAGCTCATTAAAGGCCGTTATATTTTTATAGGTGCCGTTACCATACAATAAAGAAATGCATGTGAGGATTAAGCTACGATGCAACCTCTGTTCGTTGGAAATTGTTGATGTGCTTTCAAAGAATCTGATCTTCCCGAAGTGAAATATTGAATGTTTTTTTTTCTTTTTTTTTGCATTTTGTCAGGCTGAAATCACAATTTTTACGAGTGGGAGGAGAAAACCCATCGCTGCAAGAAATCAATAAAAAAGTTGTGTTTGAGGCTGTGTAGAGCTGAGGTACACTGAAAAAAGAGAATACAGCTTCAACTTAAAAGAAATGTCTTAATTAGTCAAATAATTGAGTGGAGTTTGTCTAACTTACTTTATTTACATTTGTTTAACTTGAAAACTTCATAAATAAACTCAATTTGATTCCTTTTGATGATGATGCTAAAATTAATCTTTTTGACCTACATGCAAATTGTTGTGTTGAAACAACAAACGGAAACTCAGTTAAGAAGAAGAAGAAGCTCCGATAGCAGCAAGTAAGTGTTTGTACAAAGTATTTAGCTAAATGAACATGAATGCCACACTTCCTTGTCACGGGGTGTGGTTGATGGTGGTGAGAATGAACGCAGAGACCCAGGTTGTGATGAAGATGATGATGAATTTAATGATGAAGGCTCAACAACAGTCCAGAACAGGCAGCACGGCAGAGAGTTAGCAGACAGCTAATACCGGTAGCAACTGATAACTGAAAAACAAGAGCTAAGCAAACCAGGACTTCACAGTTCAACTGGAGAGCTTCAACGTACAACTAAGACGTTAGTCGAGGAACACAGACAACAGGTGGGACTAAATACACTGGGAGGGTAACGAGACACAGCTGGGATCTATCTAGACCAGTGTCTCCCAACCCTGGTCCTCAAGGCACACTGTCCTACATGTTTTAGAGGTTTCCCTGCTTTAATGTGCCTCACTCAACTGATTGCAGTTCAGCAAACGCCTGTTAATCAGTCATCGATTGAAATCAGCTGGTCTGAAGCAAGGAAATACCTAAAACATGCAGGGCAGTGTGCCTTGAGGACCAGGGTTGGGAAACACTGATCTAGACAGGGAGGACAGGACATCACAGAGACTCACAGGGAACAGGATCACAATAAACACAGAAAAAACCCAAAAATAAACGCAGAAAACTACGGATCACAACAGTTCTTTACTTTTAGCTATTTCAATACATCAGTTGTCTTCCTTCTACTTCAATATGATGGACTACTTTGAGTTGGCCTATAAAATAAAAGGGTTTTGTTATTTTTGCCTTCACAGTTAATCAGTGAGACACCAGAAATCTGTGACCTTTGACCCGCAGTCCCACAGGACCCATTAGACACTTCCTGTTTGACGTAGGGCAATCGCACAAATTAGCAGACGATATATATCTATTTTTTTTTTTGTTGCCATTTCACTCCATTGACTTTTTCAGGAAGGTAGTTGGAACACACCGGACAAAAACAAAAGGAAGTGCTGCTACCTTTTTTTTTATTTTTTTTTATCTTTGTTTAAACAGGATATGGCCACACAGAAAACGTTTCATGTCTCGGTATTTGTCTTCCTCTGCATGCCACGCCGCTGATTAATCGGCTTTGAGATCGTTGTATTGGAATGTCATTGTGGTTGCGTTGGAACAAATTCCCCTCTCCATTACCCACTCCAATGTTTGTTATGTTTTTTAACGCCTCAGAGACACAAAAAACAAATGGAACTTCCTGTCCCCCAAGTCGTCACGTCCAGGATCGCTCTCCCGCTCGCTGAGAACGTTAATGCCTTCCTTTAAATGTTGGTCCGTTCGCAAGGAAACAAGGTCATAATTTGTTTTAGCGATTTTAAAAGCCGACGCTGAAGTCGACGGTTCCTGTGGAGTCTCGTTGGACCTTTCATTGGTCTTTTCCATTATGGCTGCTATTCCTTATGGAGCACTTCGGACGCAAGCGTTTTGCCTCATGCACTCAGTGGATTTTACGGCAGAGATAAATGCTCCTAAGTTAACACTAATCACCAGAATTCATGCGGTTTATGCGACAGTATCACCTTTTAATTTAACGGTTTGTATCACCAAAATAACACACGAAACAAACAAACCACTGACATAAACATATTGGCAAATTTGAACGCCTCATTTTAGTTTTGATCTCAACAGAAAAACGCTCAACACATCTGATGGTAAAATGTTTAGAAGTGCTTCTGCAGGAGGAGGGGGAAGTGACACTAATGATTGTGACAGTTGTTTGGCCTCTAACTTTATGTTGTGTCATTTTCCCAGTAAAGACGCAGCCAGGACGGACTCTGGATCCAGAAATAACCCCTGGCGTTTCTGTCTCCGCTGACCCCAGATCCATAACAAGTCCCCGCAGCCAATCAGAGACCCTTCGTCTGTATTTGTGGACATGTTTTTCCTCCCCCTCCCAACCTCCGGTGGCTGATGATGAAGATGACGATAAACTTACCCTTAATGCCCAGTGCCAGTCCTCAGCAGCGTCCTTGGCACCAGAGCCCAGGATGTAACCCAATCCGCTGCAGACAGGGGGAGGGAAGGGCGACACAAACATTGCACATTAGCAACAAAAGCCCACTCCATTTAACGCAATTATCTACAAAGAGCAAAGAGTTGACATGAGCCCGTCATTAGCATCACTTAAGCCTACGCTGCTCTCTTCCTGTCTGTAGGATCAGACGTGGGATTGATGTTAACACCAGCAGTCAGACGACTAGCAGTCGGTCTGTTTGTGGCTGCGTGGTCAGGGGGATGTAACCAGAAACTGCAGAAGCAAAACTGAATCTGAACTACAGAATTAAACTTTTAAGATTTTCTGACCACATGCAGACATTATTTTGGTTTTTATCACAGAGTAGAACACATTTATTGGCGTTCCTCCTTCAGAGTTTGGCAGTAACTAGTTACATTTACTCAGTTGCAGTTACATGAGTAATTTCTTCGCGTATTTACTGCACCTTTTGCTTTTACTTGAGGAATTTTAATATGACGTACTGGTACTTTTACATCTGGGTTGATTCAGCTTCGTGTTTCAGATCTTTACCTTATTAAAAGACGGATTAATGCCACATTTTTATTTATTCTCTGGTGTAAAATAGTTTAATATTTTAAAGAGCAAATGAACTGGTTTCCTAGGGTCTTTGGAAGGAACCCAGGCCCACAACATCACAGATCCTCCATCGTACCTAGCAGTGGGAATGAGGTGCTGGTCCTCTACGTTCATCCTTCGCTTCATGCCGTCCAGATCTGGAGCGATTGCTGCATATAATCTCAATCTCATCTGTTTAACTCCCAGTAGAGTTAATCTACCCCATTTACAAATGTTTTTGTTTGTTAACGGTGGGTGGGTCTTCATATCTGGCATGCTTTCTCAACAGCCTGCTGGCTCTAGATCGCATATATCAGTTGTCATGGAAACCCAGTGACCCTGAAGCTCCACAGCATTTTTCTTATTCTTTTTTTTTTTTAAATAGTGTTTGGTTTAACTTCCCTAAAACCTGTCCGGATGATTAATGTGCATTCTTTAACTCTATTTTATTGCAGGTGTGATGCCTCTGAGTGGGAGTTACTGTGTCTTACTGCAACAACATGGCAACAGATCAATGATTAATAGCAGCCAAGACCTCAGGAGGACTTTCTTATCAATAGCCGCAGATCATCCTTAACCGGATTTGCACACGCTCAAAAGGAAAACACTGAAGCTGTTTATGTGTGTGTTTCCAAGGTTAGCCCACCAAAAATAACAGAGCAGTGTAAACTTTATCCAGGCAACACGCAGTATTTCCAGTGAGTGACTAACGGCCTGTCTTATCAGAGTCAACTCAGAGCGCACGTTTGGAAAGTTCAGCACTGTCGATAAAACCCAAGCCTGAAAAAAATAAATAAAAATTAATAAATAATAAAATCACACTCCCAACGATCGCACAAATAGGGGAGCCGAGACTCAAGGAAAAACAAGGAAAACGGCGGTAAAGTCAATTTCCTTTGAATCTGATCTGATTCCTCGGGTCATTTCCTGGAAACAGCCCGAGCACTTCAGTAAAAACAAACAAGTGGGAGACTGGACGGGAGGTTCGACGGCTCGTTTCTGAAGCCAAGCCTTTAAACTTCTATTGTTTGCACCGCTGGGCAGCTTACAGTGACCAGGACGCTAAGGGGAGCAACGACACGACCACTTGGAGGGCAGCTATCTCTCCTGTCTCATTGTGTCCTATTGGGATCTAAGAACTGATGTTTGCAGTGAAGGAAATCAGTTATGTAACGGCTTACCTCCGCGTTTTTAACTGGAAATAATCTAAAGTGACAGGTTATGTAATTACAGAATTTATCACCATGAGGATGTTTATGATGCTAGAGAAACTGCAGCACGTCTGTCCTTCCTAGTAAGGGACTGAGCGTGCAGGAGACAGTAAACAACCTGCATGTTGCAGCTCCGACTCGTTGTTGTGCACTGAGAGACTCAACTGACTCCCAGGATCCAGCACATTTCATAATTTGGCTTCATTTCTTTTCTGAAAAAGAAAAGGCTTTGGATTTGTGCTGATTAATGCGTCATACTCCCATACCTTCACATTAAACCTAAAAAAACTACAAAAATATTTAAAAAATAGCCTCCATTGAAGATTTTCCTATTGCAGCATTACACAGCTAACAGCCAGGATTCGATTTTCTTGCCATGAAAGTGTTTTGAGTTCAATATCCAGTGTTTCCCCCAGTGTATTATAAGCTTGGCGGGCCACCAGGCTTTACTTATGCCAGGCTACCAGCATTGCTTATTTTTTAAAGTCTTTTTTAAAATGTTTGCATTTCTTAAGACTTTATAGTTGGTGTTCAGGTGTTAATCTTACAATCTTTCAATAACACATGATTATCAAGAGATATTTTCAAATTTCCTGTCAACTTTAAACATTTTTTTTAACTCAAAAACATGGCGGGCCGCTGGACGAATGACTGCTGAGCGCCTCAACCACTGGGCTTAGCAAGTTTTCTGTGTGAAACCTTGAATATCTGATTAAATAATTACAAGTTCAGACCTACAATTTAGAGTTTTTGCAGCATATTGAATCCATTGCAATATGTGCGTCTCAATAACTTAAAAATATCACGATGCAGTTGAATGTTTAATTAAAACATTTTAATTCCATTAAAATCCAAGAATTTTAATGGAAAATTGGGTGTAGGAAAAAGGTGTACAGCTAACAAGGTAACACCGGTTAGCTGCATGTTGAGGTTAAAGTAGGTTGAAAACTCTGGATTAAGCAACATTTTCATGGGGGAATGTCCTGTAAAGTTCCTATTTTTTTGTATTTTTCTTATTTTTTTTAAATGTTGACTCTGTAAGAGCTTCACTTTCTGACTTGGATTGATGGGGGGGGGAAACAGTTGCACTGTTTCATCATGTACCAATTCGCCGCGATGCACTTACTATCCCAGCGGGATGGCCAGGTAGAAGACGGAGAGCATCATGGTGCGGCTGTTGCTTGTGTACAGGTCTCCTATGATGGTGGGAGAGATGGCGGAGTAGCTGGACTCGCCGATGCCCACCAGTCCTCTGGAGAGCACAAATAGCCAGTAGTACTGCAGAGAAAACAGGAGGAAAAGAAGCAGAAAGAAAAACTAAATCAATCGATGAGCCCTGTGGAGCACAGCAGGTAATCTGTCTCTCTGAACACAATGTCAAACAAAACACATCTTTCATCTTAAGACTTTTTCCACCTCCAAGCTTTCTTCCTAAGCAAATTCTTTATAACGTTTTGTATACGTACTGTAACTTAAACCATAAAAGTTAGCTTTTTTTAGTGTTTTAGTTACAACATTAAATCTGCTAAATTGTACAAATTAAGTGTAAATAAGTACAAACTCGACTTTTCAGAGACAGACTCAACAGAATACATTTTTTCAATAACTCTCGCCTTGTGATGCTTTGGTTTCTCCCTCCACACCAACATGGGTTCAGTTTAAAACATTAATCAGCCCGACTGCAGATTTTTTTTATTTTTTTAATTATGAAAATGTAGAATATTACACAAGTACTCCTTCGACACAAACCTGTGACATTAAAATATGATTTCATGCAGTGGCAAACAGCGACACTTTATCTGATGTCGGGTGTCACAAAATGGAGAAAAAGGTGAAGAGTTTTAAAAGCTTCTTATTCATAGGAACCTGCGTAGGTAGCTGGATTGTCAACTGTTTCCATAGCAACCACTATTCACAGAATGTAGGTTTCCATGTCTGCCTGCGAAGCTGCGAAGAAATCTCGTCCCCCCCTTCTGTGTGTGTGTGTCCCCCCCCCCTCACACACACACACACACCGTGAGCTGACGCAATATCACACACTGGTAATAAAACATATCTTATGTTTTACTACCAGTGTGTGAACACTGGTTGAACACCATTATACAGCGCCTTGTGTCCATTAAAAACTGTCTGATTAATCTTCCACTGCTCTCAAACTTAGCACAGTGTATTTTTATGTCCTCTGTTGACACTTGTTGTGACACCAGGTGTCCGCTATGTGATGAGGGACAAACGTGGCAGCAGAGTAAGAAGCCTCAGAGCTGACCTGAGTTCCCAGCTGACACCTCAGGCTTTTGTGCTGGTTGAAGTCCGGGACACGGGGTCATGAGGTCGCTCTCAAAGAGACGGCAAACATTCTCTAGTGGCTACACTGTACACACCCTCTTGTAAAACGACACTCAAGAGATTCCCCTCTACAGCCCGTAGAGCCCCTCTGCTGTTGTAGTCGAGTGTGTTGTTGTCACTGATAAATGTGCACAGGTTTTCAAGGCAGCTTTTACACCAATGGGGTTTGTATTACTGAATTTGAGTGCTTGTGAGAAATACCCCACCTAGCTCTCACCGCTGCAGCTACAGCTGCGTCTGGGTGCTTGAAAAGATTCATGCGCGATCTATTTTCTTCCTTCAGTGGCCCGGTGTTTAGTGGAATCATGATGGCAGCTTTTGTTGTGTGGTTCCAGCCACACCATATCATCGGGGTTTGGACCAAAAATGCTAGCAGCACACCAAAGAGCTCCGAATGATGCCAGAAAACGCCACAAATATTTGGCTTGGAAATTGTTAAAGTGACTTCACAACAAAGACTGACTTCAAAGATATGAAAGAAAAGGTTTATAAAAAAAAAAAGTTTAATTATTGTTCTTTTACAAACTTAAACTTAGCTACATTCTAATAAGCTAAATGAAAGGAAATGCTAATAAGCTACTTGCTAATATGAGTTCTGTGCTTTTCGGACAAATGTTTGTCAAATGTTTTCAGGTTTGTTATGTTCACTGGAACCTTTGACATAGTAATATCAGCTACATGCTAGTATGCTAATATGAGCTAAATGCTAATATGAGATTCATGCTAGCTTGAGCTACTGGCTTATATTTGAACAAACGTTTAACAGATAAGCAATAGGTTCACTATGGTCACTGGAATCTTTTTCTGGCGTCTCTTGTTATTTTGACTTTTATCAATATTTTATTCCTATTTTAATTATTCTTTTCCCAGGAATTCTCTTTTACAAGGGCAGATGAACTATGACTTTATAAAACAAGTGGACATTGACAAAAAATGTTTAGATCTTTCATTAACCCTTTTAGAAGAACTCACTCGTTCACTTGACTACTTAAAACTACAAAGGTTTTGAATGATATTTTAATATTTTATTCAAGTTTACTTTTCAAATAGTTTCTTCTCGTTAGTTTAACTGCAGCACTTTGAAGCTACAGCTAACTCCATTAAGTATAAACGTGGATGGTCAAGCAGTGATTTAAAATCAATATGTTTTGTTAACATACATTCCACTTGCATTAAGTCTCACTATCACAGTGTATAGATTCTTAAATTTGGATTTAAAAAAAGAAAGAAGTTAGAATACAATATATTGTCGTTTTCAACTAAAAATATTCAGTTCTTTTACCTTTTTGTTCATCTGCAGCCTGCCGTATCAACCTGCCCTGGTTTACTGCAGGCTGCACCTCTCGTCACTAGCGTCGCCCTTATCTGTTCAGCCTTCTGTATAGAGGCGCTTCAAATGATTCACCTACGTTTGACCTCTCAATCTGTGTTTAATTAGCACATTTTTATATTTAGCCCATTTGGAAAGGGAAAAACAAACTCCTTATAACCTATTTTAGTCACAAATAGTTTGAATCACAACAAGCCTCAAGAGTGTTTTTGGCAGTCAAACTGCCGGCTATTAAACAATAAAATCTCGGTGAGCAAAATGCTGTCAACTCCCATAAAAGAAGAAACACGACAGCTTAAGAAGTTGTCCTTCTCACATTTCATTTAACATCCTTTGAAATGCGAGTTAACGAAACTAATCTTGGATTCTAACGAAGAAAGACAAAAACTGCAGAGAAAAATGAGAGCAAACTGAAGAGGTGCAGATTGCTGCACGACGAGGTGTTTCGCTGCATGCCTCGCAGCCGGGCGCGTGGAGCGGCAGATGTGTTTCTAATTACAGAAAAGTGATCGTTTTAATTGCAACCCACTGCATTCGTGCAGAAAACCGTGTGCCGTCGGTGGACTTCTGTTACATAAGATCCGGACTACAAATCTGCCTGCAAAACCAAGCAGAAAATAAAATAGCCTGCAGTCTCCTAAATGCGTAATAACAGGCATCAGTTATAAGTGGTCGTTAACATTTCCTTACATGACATATATTCCATCCCTCAGTGGCTTGGTGCGGTTACGTAACAGGTAACCAGCCTCGTCTTATTTGACTGGCACAAGCTTGCCCACGCTCTGCATCCTATATGACATCTGTCAGAGGGGAAGAGACCCTTGACAAAAGCAGTCAGGCCTTATTTTCTTGTTGTTCGTCCCTCAACGGGCAAGAGCCTGAAATTTTAGCTCCGAGTGGATGAGTCTGAGGAGGATTTCCGTCAAAGTGTGGCCTCCTGAGACCGTCCACCATCTCTGCGCTTTCACTCCCGTCCACAAATGTGAAGAGCCTCGGCAGCGAGCCGGCTTACTCGCCAGAGACACATCGCTGCAGGACTCCGTAATGCTGCTTTGCAGATGTGTAGTGCGCTGCGTTAACGTAACTAACTCGGCCCTTAATGCCACATATCCATTTCTGCACAGATTCAATCTGGGGTGAACATCAGGCCTACCTAGCTGGACCATCCACACATTTATTGGGCAATGAAACGGAACGGCCTTATCTTCCGCAAGACTGTAATGGATACAACTCTGAGGGATGACCCTTCATTAGCTGACTGGCTGGCAGCCAGTGAGATAGAGAGAGGAGGACAGCGAGGGAAGGCTGCAGACTTAAAGAACGTCTTCAAAGGCGAAGCTGGCGTCTGACTTAACGAGCGTGTCATTTCATCACGCTTGCCTTAACGTCGAGCATATCCAGATCACAACAGACTAATTAGCCCATCACTGTCCGGGGGGAAGACGTCTGACAGAGCGACGCTGGGGGTGGGGGAGAGAAGGGAAAGGGGGGGGGCTTCCCGGCTGCCGCTGACCGGCGGTTTCCGTGAGAGCGGGAGCTACGCCGTACCTCTTTGCCGATGAACGAGCTCAACAGGGTCACGGTAGACCAGAAGAAAATGCCACAGCTCAGGATGACCTTTCTGTTGAAGCGGTCGCCCAGGTAACCAAAGATGGGAGCAGCCACCATGAAGCTGCAGATGAAGACTGTGGAGGGAAAGAAAGGAGACGTTACTTTGGCTACAGTCGAGGAACTAGAAATGACAGGCATTTATTATTTACCGCTGTCCGGTAAATAATGCTGTGCTGTCTGGCACAGCAACTAACCGAACAGTTCAGTCAAAAAGAACTTGACTGAACTCTGTGTGTGGCGATATGAAGTAGAAAATAACAGAGCTGCTCCTCCCCCACTTCTTGCTTTGCACTGGTAGCTAGAAGAAGCTCACTACACATTTTCTTGACTCATAAAAAGGACATATTTGGAAGTTTCTGGTCACTTGCAACAAATAAAAACATTCAAACTAAAAGAGGACGGTAGCCTGATGTATTGGCCACTTAAGCTCTTTTTATACATTACAAATATATTAAGATGTGCAAATAAGCAAAAATTTCAGTTCCTTTTTCTTAAGAAAAATAAAGATTGTGTTGCCTAAAATGCAATAACAAAGCATTCCTTTAGTGATGATTTTCAGCAAAGGATGCATCTGTAGCTAATAAAAATAAATAAATGTTCTAACATCAACATGTGAGAAGCTGAGCCCTTTCTGCTCGACTTAACATCAACAGTGTGGGGCTGATCTGCTGATTACTTTTTGGATTAACCGAACAACAATCGGTTAGCAACAGGTGCTTCATAGATTTTTTATTTTTATTTATTTATTTTTTTTACCAAATTCGAACCAAGTGAAACTAAAACCATGCTACTTGAGGAGTTCTGGGTAGAACATATTTACATGTTTTTTTTTTTATCTTAAAAATGAAATGTGCATATTTTGTGTAGAGTTTTGGCTTAATTACTGCTCTGAGTGTGTTGTTCTTTCAGTAAATTGCCTTTTTAACTAATCTGATTACTAAATTAGTTAACGATTATTTAAATAACTGATTAATCATGATTAATCTAATAGTTCCTAATGTTGATTTTATTCTATAAAGAGTAAAACCAGCAAAAAAACTTCAAATTTTTTGCTTAAATTCATGTATAAATTTTTTTTTTTAAATAAATGCATTAGATGACATAATCATACCTGCCATAACATTTTACAGCAGTGCAGCAGCAGTCAAAAATAACAGCTGGTTTTCTGTTTTAAGTAAGCGATTAGATGATGTCATGGCTTTTTGGTTAACGTTTAGGTGAAAACTGAGATATTTTCATCATACCGACAGAATCTCATACCAGCTTATGCCTGTGCAGGCGTTTTGTTGTGAAAGTCCCCTCCGAAAAATCCCAGCTGAGCTGAGCAAACTGTTTCCAGCTCCCTGGACGACCTATTAAGTCAGGACCGGTCCAGTTCGGATCAGCTGTGAGACAGCGGCGCGCCAGAGACACTGACAAGGACTGCCAGAGGACGCCCCTCACAGGGATCACATTATACTTCACCTACACTTATTACGAGTACCTCAGCATGAGAGCATTAAACGCAGAGCACTGATAAGACCATTTGCGGGCGATTAGATTTATGAAGACAAACGGCGGCGATAAAAATGAAGCGTCCCAGAGACGCAGCCTCCCGCAGCAGCCCCCTTAAGGAGTCACAGGGTGAAAAAAGAGACAGAATCAGGCTCCAAGTGTCACCATCAAACTAAATAAAGAGAGCAGCGGACAGGTTTTCAAGGGGGGATCTGGGAACATGTCAGGGTTTAATGTAAAACAGCTGGAATTATAATTATTCAAACCAGATCTGAAGCCGTTTAAAGCGATACATCACACAGCAGCGGCGCTGCAGATGAAGAGGACCTCTGCTCCTGCTCCCCCATAAATAATTCCTGCCTTAATTTCCTACAAGCGAACTTATGTTTCAGTTAAACGAGCACAAGCGCTCCTCTTGGACAGCTACGCCCGTGTTGTGGAGGGGGCAACATATATGAAGAAGACCCAAACAGATGTAAGGAGTTTTAAAGCAGAGTTCAGGGGATTTTTTTTCTGTGTACGCGGAGCAAAAAAAAAAAGGGGCAGAAATGTTGCCCTTGACAGCGCCGGGGTAAACTGGGGAAGTGTTGTGTCACATCATCAGACTAAACATACAGAGGAGGAACGCAGAGGGACAGATGAGAGACCAAAATGAGGAGGAGGAGGAGGAAGGGTTGGGGTCTCGTTACATAAGATAGAGGCATCGCAGTCCCACAGCTGCTGAGTCCAACCCGCAGGATAACAGACAATAATCAGATTATAGAAGCTGTCGTTTTCAACATGCGATATTCTGGTGTAATAAAACAAAGAAGAGAAAGGATATCCATTTAAAAATCTATTTTTAGGAGAACAGTTACTTAATATAACAAAATCTTTTTATATAACATCGTGGCAGGTATTTGGATTAGTCACTGAACACTTTGACACTCATGGTATTCATGCAGCATTTCTTAGTTAAATAAGAAGAGTTGCTAATAAGCTCTCTGGGTTTATTAAAGGAATCAGATCAAATAAAATACTTTGTACCTTTTATAATATTTGCCTGTGTACAAATGATGTGTTTTTTTAAATCTACAAACATAAACAAAAACATACATTTATACTTTTGTATTATTCTCCAAAAGACCAAACTGCTTTCATGTTAAAGTCTTTGCCACTAAACTTGATTTAATCTATACGAAGCAAAAAAAAAAAAAAAAGAAAAGCTTATCCAAAAATAACTAAATAAAACAAGCAGGAGATACTACATTTATGTAAATACTAATACGTTTCATACCTTTTGGATAATTTATGCAAGAGATTTAAAAAAAAAAATCAGTTTTCAGCATTTGAGCTACTAAACACACAAAAAAAGACACCATGGTCCAATTTTGATCTGATTTATTGGGAGACAATAACATGATAGATATGAATCTACCCTTATAACATCAATGCTGTTATTTTAATGACAGAAAAATGTCATATTAGAGAACTGATATTAAAACAAACTGATATCTAATTTGGTTTAATAATATTTTTTACAGGACGTAGGGGTTGTGTTTGCCTTTAAAGGGTCGTTACGTAACAAGTATTGAGCAGCTATTGGACGTGACGTCTGGCTTTGTGTCCTCGTCCAAACCTTTTCTCAGCGTTTGCTGTCGACATTCATTAAAACACACTAAGTTTCAATGATCGTTAAAGTTCGCTGCTGAGTGACGGCCAGTTTTCTAAAATGATTTGTATCAACTCAGCCTGAAGCCACATCACTGCAGGAGATATCCCAGCTCACACACACATCCACACGCTTAATGGTGGATTCTGCAGTCAAGATGAGACATGGGAGAGATCACCAATCATACACCACCAGCTGGTCCACGTGAGTTTTAATGAGCTAGCCAAAGTTACTGTCAACAATATCAGATTTTTTGTGTTTTTCCTACTGGAAGTCAGTAAGAGGCACAAATGTCACCACGCACGAGTGTTTGCATGACTGCGCGTGTGTGTGTGTGTGTGTGTGTGTGTGTGTGTGTGTGTGTGTGTGGTATATCCTGTAATTTGTTGATTAGCTTTTCATTCTCTTGAGCCACATTATCACCTCATAACGATGTCATCACAGTCTAATCACATTCATCTTTCCTTAAACTGTATTATTTTCAGATTAAAAGAAGAACAGACTAAAGGGAAACAGATAAGGCCACATCTGAGTAACAAGGTGCCAAACCCAAGACAAAACAAATATTTTATATATATATATATATATATATATATATATATATATATATATATATATATCCAGTGTTGTTTTTTCACAACAACACTGGAAACTGCCAGTGCTTTCAATGTTGATTGGGAATAAATGTTCCACGTTTCGAAAGACACCTTGAATCCGGTGCAAAGCCACTATATGGCGCTATGATTTTATCATGTCGTTGAAACATGAATGCGCTTTTATCTCTCAAAGACTCTGAAGATCGGAGACGTATAAGCGAGCGACGGGCTCGCGATGAAAATGTTACGGTGTCACTAAAGAGCCTTAGTTGTACGTCGAGCCACAGCTAAGAGCTGGATTTAAACTCCTGTGACAGTAAAGAAAGCTCTCTTTTTATTAGCTACCATCACCCGTCATGAGAACTCAAAGGTTTTCGTTTAGATACCTAAATTGAAAAGAAACAGACACACCCTTCTAAAGAAAGAGCGTTCCTTCCTACATGGAATCAAACCAAAAGTTAACTAGTGAAGTTATCGTCTTTGGTCTCATTCCGGAGCGCCTGGAATGAGTGTTGAGACTGACAGTGAAGCATGTGCCCTGCACAAACACTCAGTAGGAAGTAGCATGTTGGTGAAAAATTTGCATTTAAAAAAATAAGTGACAGAAAGGTTGTTGTTTTTTTTGGAGGGGGGGCCTCAGAGACCTAAAACACATGTTTTAGGTCTCTGTTGTTAAGACAGTTACATGGCCTGTCTTTATGATGACAGGACCTGTAACAGACCAGGACCTGGCCCTGTCATCATAAAGACTCAGTAGGAAGTAGCGCCGCTCAAACTGACGCTAAACGATCACATCTGTGACCCTCTAAAACTGCTTAGCCTACTCAACTTTTCAAAGAGATAGTGAAGAATTTTTGAAGCAATTACAAAATTGTGACCTACTCTGAACTTCTTCAGTTTCATGTTGTGGTCTTCCTAGGATTAGATATTAGCTTTAGCCTCCAGAATCAGCTAATATAGACATGCACTAAATGAATAAAATGGCTGTCAATGACGTCTTCTTCCATATTTATTGTTGAATTCCTTTAGATTGAGGCATGATGTGTTGCTTTTTGAGGTGTTTAGCCTACTTCATGCTGTCTGACTGGTTTATAGGTCATGCAGTAGTCAGACCAAGGTGTGGCTAGTAAAACTGAACTTGCCTTTAAAAGACAAATGTAGTAAATCAGAGTTAATTCCGGATTTAACAAAGAGGGACATCACTTTTTCACGTAGGGCCAAGGTGGTTTGAATCGCTATTTGATTAAAATAAAAAAATAAAACCACACTTTGCATTTACTTGTGTTATCAGTCTAGTATTAAAATTACTTAGATGATCTGATTTATAACATTA